CATGTTAATACTTGAAATCATAAAACATCATTTAACATAAAGGAACGTTTTTTCATAAAACATCATTTTAACATGAAAACATCATACAATATCATACCAACATAAACCAACAAGTTTTTTTTTTTTTTTTTTTTTTTTTTTTTTTTTTTTTTTTAATAAATAAAACAACTTATCAATATTCATCTTAAACCCATTTTTATTTTCAAATCAACTTTTTAAGGAAAATATCTTTTATTTTCCAAATCGATTGTGTAAAATACTCTAAGTTGCTTCTTTATATATAAAGCACATAGCATGTAGAAGCTTAATACAAGAATCAAAAAAATATTTCATAGTGTATTTGCATTTTATAGCATGTGAAAACTCTTAAATAAAAGTTACAGTTTGGTACATATGCTCCCGATAAACTCACCTTAGTCCAGTGCTAGTGATACTTCACTCTTCCTACACTTCACCAAGCTTGTTCCTCCAACTCAACACCTAATATCATTTTTATAAAGTGTCAAAGACTAAAATAACCATCTAAGGATTAACCCATCGCTCTAAGTTTATAATACTCCTTAAGTATTATATTAAGACTCATGGAAACTAAAAGGGACCAAAGGAAAGGAACCAAACTCGAGATTTAGGCTAAAAATGACATTTAAAATGGGACAAGATAGGGGACGTGCTTCGCCCCATTCAGGGGTGCGTCGCAACAACGCTGGCATATTCTCTTATTTGACAAATTTTCTCATTAAGCCTCTTAAATTCCAAATAGCCTCAAATGAAACAATTGACTCATAGAGCTTAAAATACAAGTTAAAACACTCAAAATGAACATATATATATATATATATATATATATATATATATATATATATATATATATATGTGTGTGTGTGTGTATGTGTGTGTGTGTGTATTTGTTGTTAAGATTGACTGTATTCTACTAGAAACTTGTATTCCATTTGGTATTTTATTGCACCTGTACACATCACCTGCACAAATCTCAACATGTTATCCTTAAATGTCTATGGAAGGTGATATAATGCAGTTCTTGGATTCATCCAAGGTTTAAGCTCACACTTGCCTCTTCGATTGGATATATGTTTTGCAATGACAATGAACAAGAGTCAATGACAATCGCTATCGAAGGTGTGATTGTTACTTAGACAACCAATGTTCACTCATGAGAAGTTTTATGTTATATTGTTCAGAGTTAAAAACAGAAATAGATTAAAAATATTAATTGTAGACAATAACAATAAACTTAGCAATATGAGATCTAATGTTGTATTCAAAAAAGTTTTTGAAAATTTGTGATTCATAATAATTATTTAAAATATGTCAATATTTTTTTTAATTAGTATAGATTCAATTACCTATTCATTCATCATTTTGTTTGTATTTATTTCAAAAATTTATTTTAAAATATGTTTAATGTTTACATCTTTATATTCAACAAAATTATTTAAAACATATTATTATTTTTTTATTAGTATATATTTAATTACTTAATTATTCTAAATTTTGTTTGTATTTTTTTAAAAATTTTATTTTAAAAAATGTTAAATGTTTATAGATTGATATTTAACTTTTTTTTAGTCAATCCGTATAATATACAAAGTTCGACACTTAGTTTTTAATGTAGACGAAAGTTAGAAAATTGCTTGAGATCTACCACAAATATCGTTATCAATTTTTTTATTCATGCTTACCAATCAAATTCAAGTGTAATTAAATATGACAATATTGTTAATTTTGTTTTGATCAGTGGACTATCTAATTATGATTGATCGTATACAATTTAGTGGTGGTTGATATACCAAAAAACTAAGATATAACTATAATGAGTTTATTTTAATTTCAATTTATTTTAGCTCCTATAATTAAACATTAAAAAACAATCCGTTTTTTTTCTTGCATATTATATACGTCTGGTTCAACTATTTTTCTGTAGATATGGTGTGTAGACTTCAAAATTTGTATCTATTAAAAAACAATCTAACACCTTTGTTTTATAAAATTTATAATAAGTATATATATATATATATATATATATATATATATATATATATATATATATATATATATATTATATATATATATATATATATATATAATATATATATATATATATATATACTAGGCGAATCCACGCGCGTTGCGCGAGAATACAATTATATAGTTAAAATAATAACTTTTACCAAATTATTATTTAATATTTCTACTTTGAAACAAAATGTTAGTAGTAAAGAAAACATATACTTAACATATTAGTTTTATTAAACATTATAGTTTTATTTTTTAAGTCATTGTGATATATACAATTATTTGATAATTTTATAAACCGTTAAAATTATGTAAATTATATATCAAACGTATGATAATCTATATATAACGGGTAACAAAATGTATGAACAAAAATATGAACTACAACTTTTAGTAACATAAAAATACAAAAAAATCTATTATAACACTTGTATTAAAAAATATATATATACAACGAATAATAAAAAATATGAAAAATAAACACTACAACTTTTAATAACATAAAAACACTAAAACATCTATTATAACATTTATATTAACTATTCATATTTAAATCACAAATCTCTTCAAATACATTAATGTTTTTAATGAGCAAAACTTTATAACCTTATAAAAGAAAGGAAAATAAAAAGTTATTAGTGATTACTAATTCATAATCATAAGTTAAGAACTCTTGAGTTGTAACTAATAAATATATATATAAATTAGAAAACTCTTGAGTTGTAGTGTGGGTTTCAAATGAATGTGGTACTTGTAAATGTGTATTTATTATTATTATTATTATTATTATTATTATCATTTTAGTCTCTTCAATTATTAAACATAAATATATTTAATTATAAATTTATAACATACATAGGTGCATATATATGTTAAACAAATCACATATAATATATATTTTCGTAAATGTCCTATGTAATTATTGTCGTAGTAATAGGATAAATTACTTTTATATGAAGAAAATAACATGATAAGTCAATCATAATTACATATCAAATGTTAAAAATTATGTTATCTTTTAAATATTGTCTTGTACATATATTGTGTAGGATAACCCAACAAAAAATAATAGAAAATAAACATAATCAAAATAGAAAAACTACAATCAAATAAATAAGAACATTGAGTGGTTGAATATATAAATAAAAATGTTATATAAATATACATTTAAATCAAAAGAAAAAACTAACATTCGTCTACATTGCTCAAACAAAAAAACCTATATCCGTTTTCTGAATCTTCTTTTCTTCATTTAACACTATTTAACCATAGAAACTTGATGACAATGCTTCACTAACCTGCAATCAAAATGTTTTTTCTTGAAAAAGAATAATCAAAAAGAAATTCCAAGGAAAACATTGATGTTTGGAGAGTCACATTCAAGATTGAGTAATACACAGAAATCACATATAAAGATCAAATGAGAAACTTAATATAAAGAAAGAATAGAAAAGCTTCATTTGTTTTGGTTGAAAGAAAAAATCATATTACAATTACCATCGATGCGATATAACTCATTTCTTCAAATCATCATATTTGGATCGTGGATGCTTCAACTATATGAAAACTTTTGAATCACAATATCTTCAACCAAATGACGACTTTTTGTGAGAAAAATATACTAATATAACTACATATATAATAAGAGAATGCAAAAAATTATTGGAAATTTATAACTATTATAAATGTTATTAATTAAGAAATATAAAAAGTTATGTAGGTTTCAAATCAATATGGTTTGAGAAAACTAAATATCTCTAAACATATGATTTTGAATGGTATGGTTTGAGAAAACAAAATATCTCTAAACATATGATTTTGAATGGTCTCATTTATACTACTGGAAAAAAAATATAACACGATCAAACTATGAGTAAAAAACTATGAGTAAAAAATGATACATTCATCCACAACTTTGACTTGTAGAGCTCTTTTAGGGACTTCATCACTGCAAATACGTTCTAAAAGAATTGTGCCTATTGAAATTTTTTCTTTTCATTTTCTAATGACATCCTTCTTACATATAAGAATTTATATAGCATGTTTGGTGTTTAATGCTAAATCAATTACTTAGAAGACATTTGAAAAGTCATTTGAGAATATAAAAAGACAAAGGAGTTTCAAATCAATATGCTGCTTAGAAATATAGTCATTTGAAAATATGAAAAGACAAAGAAGTTTCAAATCAATGTGGTGCTTAAGAAAATGCTTCTATTATAAGATATATATATATATATATATATATATATATATATATATATATATTATCAAATAAAAAGAAAATAAATCCTACTTAATAAATGAAGGTTTTTTTGCCACATGTTATCACCTAATTCAATATGCTACGTGTCATTTTTTTAATTTTTTCAATTTCATTTAAATCCATTTGACAAATTGTGGTTTTTTTGGCTTTGTTATTAAATTATAAAAAAATCTAATCTAAAAATATAATAAACAAAATAAGAAAACTTAAATGTCTCCATAAATTCTCACATAATTTGTCACTTAATGTATTAAATTCAATTTAAATTCAAATCAACTTTCTTAATTGAAAAACATAATTTTCGGGCAATCCATTTTGAATTCACGATAATTTACAGAAACCTTGCAAAAATTGGTTTATTCACAGCTAATATTGATATTCTTTCCAAATTCAGTTTTCTAAATTATTAAACATGTAATGCTTAACAAAATATATTAATTTTTTTTTAAAAAAAAAACCCATATATTACACGGGTCTCACATCTAGTAGATAATATAATAGTCATTAATGTTTGCACCAAATTTCTAATAAACGCGTAAAAGACTCAAAATGAGTCTACATTGACCACCCAAAAAATCTAAGCAACGCAATTCTTACGAAACTCTCCAAGTCTCCGGTCTCCCCCGACCCCACCGCACTAGTACTTACACGACTTAATCACACCTTCCAACATTTGGTTTCATCTACCCTCTTTGTGCTTACCATGCCAAATCGTCCTAGAGAATTCATTGACTCATGTGATGATCATAGTTGTCATGCACATCCACCACCACCACCGCCACTTCCTCCGCCACCAACGTCACCCGATCAGCCATTCTCACCATACCTGATCTTCATGTTCTGTGGTGTTTCTGTGTCGATCTCTTTCATTTGTTACCTCTTATTCGCTGCAAGATATCGAAGTCGCCAAAGAAACAACGAGAACACAGATGAAACCCATGAAGATTTCGTGAACGAGGATCTTGGCCCGGTTGTTCACCATCCTATTTGGTTGATCAATACCATAGGTCTCGAGCAATCACAGATCGAATCTATCCAAATTTTCAAGTATAAAAGAGACCAAGGGTTAATCGAAGGGACTGATTGTTCGGTTTGTTTGAGTGAGTTTGAAGACGATGAAAGTCTTCGGCTTTTGCCCAAGTGCAGCCATGCCTTTCATGTCCCTTGTATAGATACATGGCTACGTTCACATAAGAGCTGTCCTCTGTGTCGAGCCCCGATCATCAAGAACACAAGTGAGCCAACTGAGACTATAATTGATTCAAGTTCGAATGATCCAATTACAAGGGAGGAAACGTCCCCAGGCGAGGATTCTGAAACTGTTGATCATCACGTGATTGACGTTGAAAATGATGGAGAAGTAGAGAAAACTTGTAGAATTCTGGATGAAACAAGCAGTGGGGTAAGGGCGATTAGTGATTTGGCTGAACATCATCGTGTTCAGGGACATGAGTCAGTAGCAATGAGGAGGTCAGTTTCAATGGACGAGTCATCAGCTTCCATTGTTCATATAGCGGTGGCGAACGTTCCTCTTTCTGATCAAGAAAGGCCTTTGACTAGTCAAATGTTGATGTCAAAGAAACTAAAAAGCATTCCCAAAAGTGGAAATAAGCTCAAAGGGACGTCGAGCTCTAGCTTTCGCATATACAGGAAAGCAATGAAAAGTTCTTCGTTTGGGCATTCTTCACAAAAGGCTACTAGTGTTACAAACATGTGTCCTCATAATCGATCTTATTAAATTCTAGGAGACTATACTATCAACTATGAATCTTGATGATTGATCCTTCAATCCTTGTACTAGATGATACTTATTATAATTATTACTTTGGGAACTTTGACAAGGTTTGTGATTGGAACCGAAGCTCATTTAGTACTTCAAAGTACGAACACATATTACGATTCCAATTTCAAGCCATGGAATATATTATGATCAATAATTCAATAACTTGATCATGTTGTCATGATTTTTAATAGTTTGTGCCAATATTTATGTATCACACAATATTGTGGTCCTGAAGAGCCCACATTGTATAGCACCTTGATGGCTATCTTTTTGCTGCCGAAATTCCAATCACAAGCATAAAGGCGAAAATGATTGAACACCAAAATATATATATATATATATATATATATAATATATTATATATATATATATATATATATATATATATATATATTATATATATATATATATATATATATATTTTGTTACGAATTAAGCGTAATTAATGTAACTATAAATCAAACAAAACTAGTAAACTTTGATAAGAACTTTAATTGAGAAGAAAGAATATTTAGAGAGAATATGAAAGTTATATCTCTTATAACTTTTTGGTGTGTTTCATTCTTTACAATGAAGGGGTATTTATACTACAAATTTTACTAACATATAATTGTAACTAGTTAGAAATATTGACAAATTTGCCATGCACCAATTATTATGTCATCCACCAATTATTTACAACACTCCCCCTTGGATGACATCATTTTAGCATTCAACTTTGACGTACTGCCTCATTAAAAACCTTGCTAAAAAAAACCCAGTGGGAAAAAAACTTTAGCGAAGGGAAAAAGAGTGCAGTGTATAGTTGACTCCCCCTTATTTAGACATCCGTCACATTATGTTCTATGCACATGTCGCATTCCGATGTCATGGACATGTTTCCTGAAGATTGCAGTAGGAAGTGCCTTCGTAAAAAGGTCTGCTGCATTGTTACTGGATTGAACATATTTGATTTCAACTTGATGGTTCTTTATAAGCTCTTGAGTGTACTCAAAAAACTTTGGAGGTATATGTTTTGTCCTGTCGCTCTTGATATATCCCTCTTTCATTTGAGTGACACATGCTGAGTTATCTTCATAAATTAAAGTTGGACATATATCTTTTTCAAGTCCACATGAAGTTAAAACTAGTTGTGTCATCGATCTTAACCATGTACATTCTCTACTAGCTTCATTTAGTGCAATTATTTCAGCATGATTTGAGGATGTGGCAACAAGTGTTTGCTTTTGAGAACGTCAGGAAACTGCAGTACCTCCATTCATGAATACATATCTAGTTTGAGATCTAGCTTTATGAGGACCAGACAAATAACCTGCATCTGCATAACCAATCAAGCCTTGTTTTGAATTGTTAGGGTAAAATAACCCTAAATCACTAGTTCCTCGAAGGTATCGAAAAATATGTTTGATTCCATTCCATTCCAATGTCTTTTTGTTGGGGCTGAACTAAATCTTGCTAGCAAGTTTACAGCGAAAGAAATGTCAGGTCTAGTACAATTGGTAAGATACATAAGAGCTCCAATTGCATTTAGATATGGTACTTCTGAACCAAGGACTTCTTCATTTTCTTCGTATGGACGAAATGGATCCTTGTCAATATTTAATGATCTAACAACCATTGGAGTGCTTAAAGGATTTGCATTTTCCATATTGAAACGTTTCAAGACTCTTTCTGTGTAATTTGATTGATGCACAAGTATTCCGTTAGGCATATGCTCAATCTGTAAACCAAGACAATATTTGGTTTTTCCAAGATCTTTCATTTCAAATTCTTTCTTTAAAAGTTCAACCACTTCAAGGATTTCTTTATAACCTTTACTTGTCAAATAATCGCTTAAACGATTGTACCACATGCGCCCAGATTGTTTTAACCCATACAAAGATCTTTGTAATTTTATAGAATACATTTCTTTGGGTTTTGCACTTAACGCTTCAGGCATTTTAAATCCTTCAGGGATTTTCATATAGATATCACTATCAAGTGATCCATACAAGTAAGCTGTAACAACATCCATAAGACGCATCTCTAAATTTTTAGATACTGCCAAGCTGATTAAATATCTGAAAGTGATTGCATCCATTACCGGTGAATAAGTTTCTTCATAATCAATTCCAGGTCTTTGAGAGAAGCCTTGAGCAACAAGCTTGACCTTGTATCTTACAATTTCGTCTTTCTCATTTCTTTTTCGTACGAAGATCCATCTATATCCTAATGGTTTCACAACTTCAGGTGTGAGGATAATGTTCCCAAAAACCTTTCTCTTGTTAAGAGAATTTAATTCAACTTGCATAGCTTCCTTCCATTTAGCCCAATCATTTCTTCTTTGACATTCAATGACAGATTGTGGTGCGGGATCATCATTCATAATATCACATGCAACTGAATAAGAAAATATTGCACCTATATTGTCAGTTTCATTTTGGTCACATATTCTATTTGTCTGACCATAATTTAATGCATCATCCTCCTTTCCTGGGGGAATTTGAATAATTCGTGTTTCTCCAGGAACACTTTCATCGTGATCTAGTGCATTTTCTGCTCCTCTTCTTTTTCGTGGGTTCTTATCCTTAGAACCAAATGGCCTTCCACGCTTCAGGCGTGTTTTAGACTCTTGAGTGACTTTATCATCAGATTGTCCATGTGGAATGTCAATTCGAGCTGGAACATTGACAGCTGATATATATGATTTAGTCACCCTTTTTGTGTCAGTAAATGCATCAGGTAATTGATTTGCCATTTCTTGGAAATGCATTATCTTTTGAACTTCCATGTCACATTGCTTTGTGCGAGGGTCAAGATATGATAAAGTAGGCTCATGCCATGACACATCCTTTTCCAGAATCTTCTTTTCTCCACCTAATGATGGGAAATTTGCCTCATCAAATTGACAATCTGCTAGGCGTGCTGTGAAAACATCACCTGTTAATGGTTCAAGATATCTTATAATAGAGACTGACTCATAACAAACATATATTCCCAACCTTCTTTGAGGACCCATTTTTGTCCGTTGAGGTGGTGCAATAGGGACATATACTGCACACCCAAAAATTCTCAAATGGGATATATTTGGCTCTTGAACGAAAGCAAGTTGTAGTGGAGAATATACATGATATGAACTTGGTCTTATGCGTATCAATGATCCAGCATGTAAGATTGCATGGCCCCAAACAGAAACAGGAAGTTTGGTCCTCATTATCAATGGTCTAGCTATTAGCTGGAGACGTTTAATCAGTGATTCAGCTAAACCATTTTGTGTGTGTACATGAGCAACTGGATGCTCAACAACAATTCCTACAGACATACAATAGTCATTAAATGCTTGTGAAGTAAATTCACCAGCATTATCAAGTCTCACTCTTTTGATAGTATAATCAGGGAAATGTGCCCTTAATTTAATAATTTGGGCAAGAAACTTTGCAAATGCCATATTACGAGTTGATAATAGGCAAACATGAGACCATTTGCTGGATGCATCTATTAAGACCATAAAGTATCTAAATGGTCCAGATGGTGGGTGAATCGGTCCACATATATCACCTTGAATTCTTTCTAGAAATCTAGGTGACTCCCTTTCAACTTTCATTGGAGAATGTTTTATAATTAACTTTCCAAGGGAACAAGATGCACATGGTTTTATGCTATTGGATTGAGGAAACTTTTGGTCCTTCAATGGATGCCCGTGTGTATTCTCAATTATCCTTCGCATCATTGTTAATCCTGGGTGGCCCAACCTATCATGCCATAAACTGAATGTCCCAGGATCACAATGTTTTCCTTCCACTACCATATTTGATTCAATCATATGTATATATGTATAATGCAGACCAGAATCAAGTGTTGGTAGTTTTTCAAGCACATGGTTTTTGTCTATAATATACATATATTTCTTATTTTCAATGGTCACAGTTTTTGTGTCATAACCTTTGAAATATATGTCATTGAAACTTAATAAGTTTCTATTAAACTTTGGAGAAAATAAGGCATTTTCTATACAAAAGCTTGTACCATTTGGTAATATAAAATGGGCTTTCCTGGTTCCCTCTATCAAGTCTGCAGGACCTGATATTGTATGTATGAGTGTTTTTGTTGGTACTAATTCTGAAAAATATTTCTTTGATTTCAGAATAGTACTACCACTATCTGCTATACAAAGATCTCCAATCTTTTGTGCTCCAGTTGGACTCATATCAAACTTCACATATAAAAGGAATAATAAGTGAATAAACATAATCATAATTATTATTAAAAAGAAAGCTCATTTATTGTAGGAAAGACATTACATGAAAAACAAACGAAGGAAAAACAGTTTTACTAGAACAATAATAGATTTTTTTTTAGTTTATGTCTTCCATGTCATTGCAGAAATCAGCAACATTTAGTGGAGTGAATTCAACATTATCAATGAGGTTTTCTTCTTTTCTTTTTCCTTTAATGGACTCTTGATAAAGTTGACAAAGATGTGCAGGTGTGCGAAAGGTCCTTGACCAATGGCCTGTGCTACCACATCTATAACATGAACCATCAGATTTTTGTGATGTCCTAGTGTCATGCCTTGCCACTTTGGCCTTATCTTGTGTGTGGACATTGTTTCTTTGTGAATATTGGTAATTATTTCTTTTATGGCCATGACCACGATTATTACCTTGTCCACGACCAGAATTATGGTTCTGATTATGGCTTTGGTTTCGATTAAAATAGCCACGGCCTCGCCCTCGACCACGACCTCGCCCTCGTCCACGTGTATTGTTTCGATGACAATCAATATTTGTAGCATTTGCTTCAGGAAGTGCTACTGATCCCGTTGGACGAGATTCATGGTTTTTCATTAAGAGTTCATTGTTTTGCTCTGCAACGAGCAGACATGCATTTTACTAACATATAATTGTAACTAGTTAGAAATGTTGACAAATTTGCCATGCACCAATTATTATGTTATCCACCAATTATTTACAACACCACCAATTATTTACAATATATATATATATATATATATATATATATATATATATATATATATATATATATATATATATATATATATATATATATATATATATATATAGACACACATTCACATATATGATATAAAATGAATGTCTTTATTCGCAACATCATTAGACATTCACACCATATGCACAACCGAGTAGTGTATCATAATTAATATTATTATCAAATAAGGACGAAAGAACCTCAACTTTCCAGTTACACATAACCATATGATTAAGAAAAGGATTATGGTAGTTGATGTGGTGTTAAGAAACGAAAAAGAATGAAATGGAAACAAAAGAAACAGTGTAAAGCAAAAGGAAACATTCTATATATAAAGATACTGGTGTGTGTACAGTTTTATGTATTTCACTACGCAACAAAAACATTAAAGTTATTTGGTCTTGTAGAGACGAGACATGGCGAATCACCAACAACTCATGCACCCACTAATTTAATCTTTAGTCAGATTTTTTTAATTTCTATTTTGTAAACTTGTCTCATACTAAATCTTCAGGAGTTCAAACATCATATTTTGCAGGATCAATGAGTAACTGGTTATGGCAAATTCCAAAGTGTTATATATATCACAAAATAGGAATTATATTTTTGAACCAGTGACCCGATCAAAAGGTGGGCAGTAATTATGAAAGCCATGCTAACAAATTCTAGCACAACTCAAAAACAAACCGAGCCTAACATAAGCAAAAAGATTGTGATCGAATAACATAATAAATATCGAAAAAACTATCTTATTTTGGTCTGAAAAAGAAAATACTGAGTTCTTGACCGATGTTACCATCAGGGTCGATGAAATGGAAGGATTCTGATCGAGCCATGGATTTACCAGTAACCCTACTAAAGTTTCCTCTTAGGTACATTATGTCCTGTTCTCTTCCGACATCTTTTGCTTTTAAAGTCCCTGCACCTTCATGAACCGTTTCCATGTGCTTTAAAACTTTGAGATCGGATGTTGATGGTTGTCTCTTAAATGCAAACCCTACTTTTCTTCCATTACAGTACATGGTCCACAATGGCGTAGCCAGGAGAGATTTATCTGGAGATGCTTCTGAATCATTCGAGCACTCGAGGGCGATCCTCAGATTGCCACTTTTCATTTCTCGGGCGAGAAAGGTGGTGGAGATTGTGAGTTCAAGGAGGAGGACTGGGTTTTGTGATTTAGGGTTCGTTTGGATACAGAAGTTGACTTTTCCGGTGCGTGAGCCGAAGATGGTGCCGGTGATATTGGTGGCGGTGGTCGGGAAGACTAAAGAAGAGGGTTTGCGGTGGTGGTAAGGGTGAATTGGAGGATTGTCGTCGTTGATATCTGGTCTTTCCACAAGGGTGCAGGTGCAAGCTTGGATGAGTAGTTCCAAGATGGAGCGGAGAAGTCGCCATGACCGGACTTGTTTATGGCATTCCACGGTGGTGAAGTTGGCTGGAGCAACCGTGTGATATGCCATAAGTACGTACTTATGGCCTATTGATGAGAAAGAAGAAAGCTTTGGGTGAAAGTTACGGGTGGTATAGGGTTTATATAGGGAATTTGGGCAGGTTACAACCCGAAGAAGGGTATATTTAAAATACAAATAATACCTTAAAAAGATATGGCCAATAATGTCCAGGTTGCATAAAATAAAAATAAAAATGGGATTGTATTTGTAGATCGAATTATTACCATGCATTTACATAATCAATTTGTTCTGATTCTGATTTAGATTCACTTAAGCAACATAATCTTTTGCCAATATTTTCTGGATTACAGCAAAACATTATTTAATTGGTTTATTATGCAAATATTTCTGAAAAAAATGATCTATGTTTTTCTTTCAGTAATACGCGGGAGAGGATTACTGTTACATCAAATGACTTGAGCGATCGTTGGCATTGTCCATACTTAATGAGGTTGTTTGTACAATCTATGTTTCTAAATTAAACGGATTAATGTTGTTTATCAAATAACGTTAATCTTTTAAGTATTCTAGTAACAATGATTGACGAGATTGATAGTGGTCTGGTTAGATCGCTAGCAGGCCATAATGAACTCGATTTTGAACTCATTCCTGTCAATGGGCTTTCTGGTGAGCATGTATCACTTTGAAATATTAGCATATTCACTCGTAATAAAGTAATTATAAAGACGATTTTCATGCAACTAGGGTATGGTGGATTCAAAAAAGAAAAAAATGTTGGTTTGTTAAACTTATGTCCCACGTGAACTTCATTCGAAGAGACTGATATGGAATAAAATCTAAACTATCCGTTTCTGTGTAGTATCCAAAGACTTTAATAAGGTAAGATACTTTGATGAAAGGAAATGATCATATATTTGTCTAGGGGGGCTCTTCACTTCAATTTTTTTATTGAAAACTTTTGGATCTTATTGAAATAAAAATGGAGACAAAACGGTTTACTAGAATGACAAATGATGGTCCTAAGCTAAGCGAATTAGACTTGGTTAATGATTTTGCAGTATCTTGGCCGGATGCCAGAGTTCTGGCTCTTCCTTGCATCTTGTAAGATCATTACCTCATTCTTCTCAAAAATTGGGAAGATTATGACTTTGGTCCCACATACTTCAACAAGTTTTAACTCAACGAATCTAAGTTACATTCTATTGTCTACAGGTTGGTGCCTAGGTGACTCTGTCTGGACTATATTTTCTCCCCATATTGCAGTTGTCTTGGAAAAATTCAGAAACATAAAGAGATGTATCAAGGATTGGAGATTGAAGATTCAACTTGAAAATTTTAAATTAAGAAAGAAAATTCTTTATACCTAAGACAAAGTTAATTAAATGGGCTTGTGAGGGTGAAGAAACTTAGGCTACTTTTACAAATTCATAATAGGAATCGTAAATCTTAAAACTTGGTTCATCTCACTCTCAGTGATGTCTGACTGAGGACCCCGATAGTATCAAGTTTCTTTCTAATAGATTTTTGGAAAACACTCCAACTAGACCATGGCTTACCAGTATTAAATTCAAGAAGCTTTTGGCCAACCAAATAGCCATGTTAGAAGCACCATTTTCTCTAGAGGAGGTAAAAAATGTTGTTTGGTGTTGTGGTAGTGATAAAGCACCTAGGTCTATATAATGGGTTCTCATTCACTTTATCAAGAGCTTATGGGAAATTATAAGGGCATACATATTTCTTGAATATTTCCAATTCGAGAGGTACTTCTACTTTGATAAGGATAGTAATTCCATATTCATAGAGGTACTTCTACTTTGATAAGGATAGTAATTATTCCATATTCATAACACAGCCAAAAGTGAGATATTTGATTTCTCTATCCTTCCATAGGCCAATCAACCTTATTGGTTGGTATATACAAGATTGTTACAAAAGTTCTTGTGGAGAGACTAAATATACTCATTGATTAATTGATGATTGGAAAAACCTAAGCATATATCTTTCATCAAATGTAGGATTATCTTGATGGACCCTTAATTCTCAACAATATTATTTCTTAGGAGAAAAGAGGATCAAAAGTAACCTTGCATATTTAAAGTTGAACTTGAAAAGACATTTGATTCCTTTAATTGCGGGTTCTTGATTGTATTATGGATCAAATGTGTTTTGGATGGAAATTCCATATTTGGATACATATTTGTCTCTAGTCGACTTATTCCTCTACCACCAAAGAGTTCAAAATAGAGATAGAGAGAGCGAGAGTAATCCAACAAGGGTATCTTCATGCTACTCTTTCTTTTCATCACTACAATAGAGGTTTTGAGTATTTCACTTCTTAAGGCTACCAAAAAAGGTATTTTAAGGGGTGAGACTACCAAAAGGGTATATTCAAGGGGGTGAGGCTTCATAAAAATAGGACCTTGATCTTCACTGTTTAATACATGAAATGTGTATTATGGATCAATTGTGTTTTGACAATGCTTTTATGTTTTCAATTGGCATGTTGGAATATGGTGATACTTTAAAATCATAAAATACGCAACGAAAGCAAACTTAAATAAAATCACATTCCCTAAGGATCACAAGTTCATAGACTTGTTGTAATAAACTAGAACCCTAGAGCGAGGAGATCGAATGCTACCTTTTTTGATGGTTAATTCCTTTAGGATTTTCTTGGATGATGGAGAGTACAAACTAAAACTCATTTAATGTGGCAGTAAATAAAGTTATTGATCTATGCAAGATAACTTGAATTTTTTTCTTCCTTAAGGAGAAAATCGAAACCCTAGCTTGAGATGATGGGTATGCTGAGATATAATCGAAAATCATATAATAAGAGTTATGATACATACCTTTGATTGTTATGAAGAAATAACAATCCAAAACCTTAAAGATATGGAAGCTTGAGAGCAAGTGTCAAAAGTGTAACACCTCTAATGAATCACAAACACACTTAGCAAGAGGATGAGATATGAGAGGGAGGAAGTAGCTTCAATTTTCGGCTATAACTCTCTAGGGTTTCATGTGCCGAAAATACCAAGGGTTAGGGTCTTTATATAGTGAGGTGACTTAGAGCCAAAGCTAGGAAACCCTAATTGCTTTGCTTAAGGACCAAGCAACCCTAAACCTTCCATCTAATAGCCCTTGGACGAAAATTCTAGGGCCTTCCTAGAAGTTTTCGTCCAAGCCTCTTTAGGTAGGTTCTAGTGCTTCTTTCCTCAACTATCAAAAAAATGCCAAACAGCCCCTAAACTTTTAATTAATTCAGTTAGTCCTAAAATTAATTCCAAATAATTTCTGATTAACTATTAATTAAATAATACGATTTTCAGTTAATATATTATTTCCATAATACATTAATAAATCATTCATTTCAATTTATTAATTAAATAATAAATTCTTCCTCTTTCTCAATAGATCATCCTGTGTAGTTGTTAGTATGAAGGTAACCCACAAGGACTATGCTGTTATCAATTCAAGTATATATACCAATTATAGTTATGGGATTAGACACCTAATCCAACAGTCTCCCACTTGGATAAGTCTAATAACTGTAGTTGTCAATATAACTTCAAAAACTGATTAGCAAATTGTAGCTCTCAAAGCCGCTGTCGAACTCTGACCATGGACAAAAAAGATACAGTTTACAGTATTACATTACAATTTACAATAACAGTTGATGAAATCAGACACATTCTCAGATACAAGTTTACAAAAGGATTACAAATACAGAACATTGGTTTACAAATAGAATAGTTTTATGTATCTAAAACTACTTTTCATATACAGCAGAAAATATAGGATTTTTTGGAACAGTTTACATATTCAAGAAACAGAAAACATTCTTTCAAACATAAATACTTATGCACTCACTCAACTTTATGTTGATACTCTCTTTTCAAATTACTTGTATTCTCAGGGAACCAGTAGACAGGTACTCCCCGAGCTTTTGAGAAGATGGAGCTATTTATGTCTTGTCTTCTTCTTTTGTATAACTTTTGATTTCAGTATAAAATGATGAATCACATGTAAATACTTATACTTTTTAAATACATTGGTTGTTTGTACTTTGATTACTATAATGCATGTGTTGTGATACTACAAATGAAGTCCTCCACCCCCGGACGTTTCCGCCGTCTGGTTTGGGGGTGTGACAGATTGGTATCAGAGCATTGTTTATAGTGAACTCAGTATATCAATTCATAAAAGATATACAAACTATAAATACATTTGGGGCTAAGAGCTCTGACTACAAGTATACTTTTTTAAAATTTAAGTATTTTTACAAGAAGTATACTAAAACTCATACCTACAAGTACAGTATCACAGTCATAGAAACTAAAAGTATTTGGATGTTGGACATTACAGTCAAACCTGGGCAGTTATGTAATCATATCTAGGATTAATATAGCCTGATCAACTATATTGATTTGAGATATGACCAACATGTGTTTGGGAGTGATAGTGGTGTTGCGACATGTCTAAAACTTACCAACCATACATATTCAGAAGAACTCTAGAACAGAACATAAAGATTAAAATACTATAGGGGTATTTTAGGCACTATATACTAATAACAAATATGTGAAAACAATAGAACAATTAAGGGTAGAATTATAAATATTAAGGGTATATCACAGTTATATATAATTAAGAGTTATATAGACTTAGAATAAGTGATCTAGCTTCATTTCCTGTTCCTTGTTTGGTTGTGGATTTAGAGCCAGGTCATTTAATCGAAGGTCGATTATACCCAAGTTATATATAATTAGTATACACTTTATAGTTATAGTAATACCTAGAACAAGTCATACAGAGTACAATTAAATGTAAGTCTTTCTCGTAGAAACTTGTATCCTTAATCTATCGTTACTAACTATATTCTATATCTTTTATCCCTATTCTCGCTTAGATAACAATGGCAGGATTTCATTTACCCGGAGACCCATATTTTCCCAATCAAGGACAAGATGCAGAGCCAGAAGATAATCATGCAATTCCTTTGGACGATGACTTCACAGAACAATTCCCTGAAGAGGCCGACTCGG